CATACTCAATATCTTGTAATAACCTATAATGGAAAAGAATCTAAAAAAGAATATATGTGTATATATATGTATGTGTGTGCGTATAACTGAATTACTTTGCTGTACACCTGAAACTAATACAACATTGTAAATCAACTATATCTCAATAAAAAAATTTTTTTTAAATGCTGAAGGAGAGGAAACTATGGATAGAACAATGTATTCAAGACATTGAGATGTAGGAACCCGATGACTGTATATTATTGTGTTAACTGGAATAAGAAAGTCCTTTCTGATGAGAAAGGGGTGGTATTTCTCTGGCTTCATCTCCAGGTGGAAGTGGAGCAGCCTTCTGTTCAGGTACGGTTTTTGTTAAGTGCCCCACTTTTCACAGGACAATTTTAACACTGTTCCCCAGCTCATCTCGGTTCTCCGTAGAACAAAAGAGCTACGTTCTAGACTCCTCCAGTCAAAGACTAAATTCACGAATTCAGTACCACTCAATCAAGTAAAGAAACAAAAGACAGTGTTTATAGGGGAATGCCTGAAGGATGTGTAGCTGTCCGATTACTTATTCTCAAACATGGAGCTGCCAGTATGTTTTAATTAGTGATCAGATATGTCTCAACCAGTTTGCTTCTAAGAATAAACTACTGAACTGGCCGATAACGTCATAAAAATTAACGAGTAAATTCAAGATTACCTATGTGACAATTTTGTTCTCACTCTGTTGCAATTTGATGTTCTTTCTTGAGACAGAAGAGAAAGAAGATAGAATGAAGGAGCCAGTGTGGCATACTCATGCTACAACTTAATGGGCCACACTTCCTGGAGGTACCTATGCCAGTTACAAAGTAAGGCAGAAGCCCTCTTCCACGGGGCAGTAAGGACTGGTAATCGAAAAAGTAGGTTAAAGTGAGGAATTATTAAAAATTATATAAGCATTTAACATTTAAAATGAGTACATAAATATACGTTCATCAACCAGTCCTTTCATTTAGGTGCAAAGCTTTATTTATTTATTCTTTTTCTCTTTTAAGTTTGGGTCTACTGATTGGCTTTGTTTATCTTGCACAAGTCATACTCTGTAAACCCATGTTTGCTGCTATTTCTAATTGGTTTCTTATTTTAATTAATGGAGAATTTAAAGACTCCCGGGAAGTGATCTGAGAGCACAATCCTAGATTTTCTTTTAATCTTTTACAGTCTTCTTGCCCACACCTAACAGGACAGCAATCTCTTTAACAGCTCTTATCTAGTCTTTAGAAAGTATTCAATTTGGTTTGTTTTGTTAAACAGTGTACTTGCCCTTCGTTGGTTTATGTAAATTTAATCTTGTTGGACAGACCTTAAGGCAACCCCAGTGATCCCTGCTTTCTGGTGTTCACACCTTTGTATGATCACTTCCCTTTGAGTGTGAGCAGGATCTGTGCCTGGTTTCTAACCAGTAGAATTAGGAACAGGTGATGAGAGTTCACTCTCACGATCACATTATGTTATATAAGACTGTCGTGCTAGCCAACTTTCTCTAGAGATTATCCTTGCTGGCTCGATAAACTAAACTGCTGTGTTGGAGAAGCTTACTTGGCAAGACCTGTGAGCAGTCTCTAAGAGGTCAGGGCAGCCTCCAGGAGAGCCAGCAAGAAACCAGGGTCCTCAGCCCTAGGGCTGTAAGGAAATGAATTCTGCCCACAGCCTGGGTCAGCTTGAAAGTAGGTTCTTCCCTGGTCGAGCCTCTAGGTGAGAGTGCAGCCTGGACAGCACCTTGATGGCAGCCTTGTGAGACCCCCCAGCAGTGGACCCAGTTAAGCCGTGACCACAGTGCACAGTGAATACTGACACACAGAAACAGTGAGATAATAAATGTGTGTTGTTAGAAGTTGCTGGGGTGTGGTAATTTGTTACTTAGCAATAGAAAACTAATACATTAGTTGAATGATCTATTTGCAGTAACAACTGCAACTGACAGACATGTCTGAAATCTAAATAACCTTTGGTAAGCATGCTGCTTAACCGCGGAAGTGTAGGGGCACAGGAAGCACCTCGAACAGTGAGCATCGAGGGTGCACAAGTGTGCTCAGCAGGTTTTGCAGAGGCAATGCCGAGTGACAGTTGGTTTCATGGAGGCCAGTTACAGAGGCTTCTGTACTGTAGTGCTTGTGAATTGTGACTGTATAGTCACATCTAACAACTTAATAGATAAAATTTTAATAAGAAAGTAACACTCAATGAAGAAAACAGAGGTAGTTCATTTACATGTAAGTATAGGAGAACAAGATTGTTATTGGGGACTTTTCTATTAGAAATACATAATACTACTACTTAGCCATAAAAAGGAATGAAATAACGCCATTTGCAGCAACGTGGATGGACCTAGAGATTATCATACTTAAGTGAAGTAAGTCAGAAAGAGAAAGACAAATGCCATATGATATCACCTATACGTGGAATCTAAAAATATGGCACAAGGGAACTTATCTACGAAACAGAAACCGACTCACAGACATAGAGAACAGAATATGGATGCCAAGGGGGACGGCAGGTGTGGGGAAGGATGGAGTGGGAGTTTAGGATCAGCAGATGCAAATTATTATTTATAGAATGGATAAACAACAAGGCCCTACTGTATAGCACAGGGAACTATATTCAATATCCTGTGATAAACCATAATGGAAAAGAATATGAAAAAGAATATGTATATATATGTATAACTATCACTTTGCTGTACAGCAGAAATTAACACAGCATTGTAAATCAGCTATACTTTAATAAATTTTTTAAAAAGAAATACATAATAGTGATAATACTAATGAATGCAAATGAAACTTACAATAATGCTACTCATATTAATAATAGGTCCAATAACTTTAAAATCTATATAGGACAGCAAAACCAAAATAGGGACTATCTGTATTTATTTTTTATAATACATTCCTGGGGTGCAGAGTGGAGATTCAGGAAAAAAAGTCAATATTTTTAAACAATAAAGTTTAACATTTAAAAAAATTACTTTAGTTACAAATAGGTATATTTCTTATAAAATATTTTAAATGTTTAAATGGACTGTTTTATTACTCAGTGCTTATAAAATGGGTTTATGAAAGCCATGGAAAAATAAGAGGCAGGCATAATATATGACTTGTTTTTCTGGAGAAAAAAATTCTGCTGATAGTAGAACCTAGGATCATCAGATTTGTGAGTTATATAAGTTTTATGTGCTCATATTATGTGTGAATTTTATCTGCTAATGTGCCATGATAAGAAAAAAAAAGTTGAAACCAGAAGTACAGATTCTCTGAAAATCTAAACTACAGAGTCTACCTCTGCTGTCAGCCCAAGGAATCCGTGGGCAGAGGTCAGCTGATGCGGTGCCCCCTTACTTCCTCTTTGGTTTTCTCAGGGAAGTGAGGGCCTTATTTTTAGGGGGGTTGTCAGGTAAGCAGAGTGAGGAGACCCAGGTGGTGTCAGAAACCAAGATAAAAACCCTGAGTGCATTCTGAGGGGACTACCCACCAGGAATACAGGAGACCCCACAGAGCTCTGCCCCTGCTGCCAATCGTGAGAAACGTCGGGTATTGGTGGCATCCCCTCTGTCTTGGTATAGGAGGTCCCCTCAATCCTCCCTCTGAATATTCACAGGAGTAAGATTCCACACTCCCCTCTGCTGACCTGAGGCCACCCAGCTCACACCAAGGCCCTTACCCCTCTGAGACCCCTGAGGAGGAAGTGAGGGTGTGTGACTTCCGGCTCCCTCTGCCCAGGGCCTCCCGGGCTGCTCATGGGAAGGACATATTCTCTGACGTCGCTAACTAGAATCTACATGGTATTTGATGAGTATTCCATGCTTACTGCTGTCCACTGGCATCTGGTATTGTTGAGGTTTGGAAAGAGTTTGGAAAACGAATAACTGATTTAGAAATAGTCAAATGATCTGAACAGAGGTCTCATCAGAGAAAGTATATAGACGGCAGATAAGCATATAAAAAGGTGATCAACACCGTACATTATTAGGAGTTGCAAATTAAAACAACAGATAGGGGCTTCCCTGGTGGCGCAGTAGTTGAGAGTCTGCCTGCTAATGCAGGGGACACGGGTTCGAGCCCTGGTCTGGGAAGATCCCACATGCCGCGGAGCAACTAGGCCCGTGAGCCACAACTACTGAGCCTGCGCGTCTGGAGCCTGTGCTGCGCAACAAGAGAGGCCGCGATAGTGAGAGGCCTGCGCACCGCAATGAAGAGTGGCCCCCGCTTGCCACAGCTAGAGAAAGCCCTCGCACAGAATCGAAGACCCAACACAGCCAAAAATAAATAAATTAAAAAAAAAAAAAAAAAACAGATACCACTACACACCTGTTAGAATGGTGAAAATCCAAAACACTGACAACACCAAGTGCTGACAGGGATGTGGAACAACAGGAACTCTCATTGCTGGTGGGAATACAAAATGGTACAGCCACTTTGGAAGGTAGTTTGGTGGTTTCTTATAAAACTAAACATACTCTACTATACCATCCAGCAATCATGCTCCTTGGTATTTACCCAAGTGAATTGAAAACTTATGTCCACACAGAAACTTACACATGGTTTGTACAGCTTTATTCATAATTGCTTATAGTCTGATCAACCAGTAGAGGTGATTAAAGAGTCAGGCCCCCCAAACCCCAAGGAAGGTTTTTTTTGGATAAAAATCATGTGAATGATCATTTAGTTTCATTCCCACAGTGTTTTTCTTTTATTCCTAGTAATGAGTATTCAAATAAATGTTTGTTTTACTGTATATGGTATATTCACATACACACACAAACACACACACACACACACAGAACCATTTGAGTTCATTAGTTAAAATTGTCCTGGGAACCAAGTCTCAGCAAAATTAGAGTTGGGACTGTGAAGTAAATCTCTTATTTGACCAGAATCCTGTAGTGTCTTATAAGCAGATAAATGTCTTCAAATAGATGTTTTGATTGGTTCTCTGCTTGAGTGTTCTTTTTTAACAAAATTGTTTGCTTGTTTTAACAGTTGTTTCGGGAAGTACGAATAATGAAGATATTGAATCACCCTAACATAGGTATGAAATTTATGTATACAATTAACGATAAAGTATTTTCCTTAATTTGAGGCTATTTGAAAGGATACAATTTTAAGGATGTTTTATATAAAATGAGGAAAAGTGATAACCTCAGAAAGTGATACTTTGGGTAAAAATAGATTATAAAGAAGTTAACTGAAGGCTACAAATTGTAGTTTTCTCCTACCTTGCTGTCTTCTGCTTGTCACTAAAATAATATATATGACTTGGAGTTAAAGCGTATAAATGATTTTTGTATCTCCTTACTAAATCTCTCTAAATAGAGATTGCATGCCATTTAGGTATTTATAAAAAATAATTCCAGATATTTTGATAATAGGCACTTGGGCTTGATCATAGTTTATAAGCAAAATAACTAGTTTGAATTTTAGAGAAAATAGAGTTGATTTCAGTTTTAGTGAATTTACTTCCGTAAGTTCTGTTTTTCCCCCATATTTACAAATAAGTTTATTGATTACATATATTATACAAAATCATTGGATTGTAAGAAGTAAAAAGCAATTCTTCTTTTAATCTGTTTATTTTTGAATCATGTGTTTCTTGCACATTAAAAAATCTTATGTTTATTAGAGACACTCATGCAGTTACTTGTGGTGTATAATTTCAACTATTTGTCAATACATAAGTCTCATAATTTAGTATTTTTTTAACCAGAAACTTAAAATATCACATAATTATAAAATTTTTTGTTTCTGTACCAAAGATTATTTAACATTTTTGATAGGCTTATTATAATAATAGTGTCTTTTTAAGCTTTAATTAAAATTTTATTATTTTGATTTTAAGATTTTCTTTTTTTATTACCTTATTCTAATTAGAAAAGGAATTATTTTTTTAATCCCAGAAATTTAACTCTCTTTTGACCCAGCAGTTGGTTCCAAATCACTTCACAGTAAATAGTTTTCTTCCATAGTCGTAATAACCCTTGAGAAAATTTTAAACTTTAAATTGTAATTAATAATTTTTAGTAAATACTCAAATTTTCCTTTAGTTTAGTGTTACCTTAAAGTTCCTTAAAGCATATTCAATACGTGCTCACAACCACAGAGTTATATCTCTAATTTCTTTTTCAGTAAAATTGTTTGAAGTTATTGAAACAGAGAAGACCCTCTATTTAGTCATGGAATACGCGAGTGGAGGTAAGGATGGAAGGGAATGAAAAGTTATCTTTGATGAGACATATAGAATTAATTAATACCAGTCATTAACATTCATGTCTTTTTTGATGTTAATGAATCTGTAGTTTCATAAAATGCCTTTAAATGGTATCTTAAGGAAAATTCAGTGTTTAGTTTCAAGACCTATTGATCCTACATTTAAAAGTAGGATTTTGGCTTATTTAAAAATTACTTAGGGACATTTTTCAAAACTCTAAATTTGCATTGTTATCTATGAATGTTTCGATTCTTATCTAAATAATATAATATATAATAATATTAGTAGTAGTAGAAGCTCTTGGCTATTAACAGGAAATCTCAAATTCAGAATGTATTTAATAAAGTTTAGAGTAAAAGCATGTTCTAGGTCACATGTTTATTTCACTGATTGTTCATATATGACAGATTCTCCATATACATACATTTTCAAGAAATCCATAAAATGTTTCAATTTAAACAAGTATTTATATATTTTATAAATTAGGAGACTGAGTTGATGGGGAAATAGTAAGATACATTTCTAGTAGAATATAATATTGGGCTGGCCAAAATTTTGTTCAGTTTCTTTGGGAAGATGTTATGAAAATCCCGAATGAACTTTTTGGCCAAGCCAATATATATTCTGACTATATAGTGTTCAAAATAGGAATGATTTTTAAACACTGATATATAATAGAAAATCATTTTCATATACTTTCCCTCAAATGAGAGATATATTGGCTCAGATTCACTGTTCTTTTAGGCATAAGACTTAACTTTCTCAGAAACAGGTTTAAAATTTATGGAATTAAATCATTTAATAAGTAAAATGAAGATACTTGAAGGTTTTAAGGGCTCAGAGAATTTAAGCAATTGAAGAAGAGAGAGGACAGCAGAAATTATTTAAACCACTTTGGCTAATCACCTTTTTTCGCTAATCAATTGAAAAACTTAGTGTTGAATTTAGTTTTGAGCTCTTCTAGCTAATAAAGTGTATAGATTTTTGTGATGATTCAGATTTTCTGTAACGAGAATGAAGATGATTTATTTTAGTCTATAGCATCTAGGCTATGTATTTTTATACCCTTTCAGATTTCTAAAAAATTTTACTACAAATATTAAACGGACTTTAATTGCTTTTTCAGTTTTTTATGTAGATTGAAAGTTTTAAAAGGTTTAGTTTTTTGCATAGCTTTTTTTCATCATGAAGATATTTCATTGTAGGTTTTTTACTTAACCTGGAAACCTACATCATTAATGTTTTTTATTATTGTAGGATTTTAAGAAATATTAATACAGCCATGCAAATTTGCATAAAATGTTAATCTATAATAAAATTAATGAACCTACAAATACCACATAATGAAACTTTCTCTACTTTTCTATCCTGTAGTTAGATCTGTGTATCAATTCATCATTGTTGAAACCCTGAGTGTTTATCCAGTTAGACTTTTTTTTTTTTTAGCGATCTAAAGTCTAGAGAGTGGGGCTAAACATGTTTTGATATGAGAAATTATAGACAGCTAAAGATCTGTGGGCATTGTTCTATTTTTATGAAGGTCTGCCACAAGGCTGTGTTAATGTGCATACTGCTTTAACGATTAATGGTAAGTGCAGTCAACTCTTTATTGGTGCTGATGAAGGGGAGCAATGGCTCGAGTAATAGACAGCACGTAGGGTCCTCACTGCTCTCCTTCAGTAGCATTGGGAGGGGCAGAAGGGTCTAGTGTAGTGTAGAGAGGTGTGTACTGGAGCTCAGCCAGTGGCCCCTTATTCAGTTCTGATTCCTAGGGTTAGGTGTTCTTTGAGTCTTGCCAGTCAGTGATCCTGTAACAAACCATCTTGGTTCTGTAGCAGTAAATCTAGAATCATCCTCTTGCCTTTTTAATCTATAAATGGCAAGGTGACTCTAGAGAATAAAACGCTTAATATTTTTCCTCTGAAATTTCTAGATATTTTAGGATTGAATCTGACATGCACACGAGAATCCTAGCATGAACAAGGTTGAGTCAGACAACTGCCTCTTTGCCAGAAGTACATCTATTGATCCTGGTTCACTAATGGGGCAAAAGATCTTCGGTGATTAGAAGGGCAGGGAACTCCTTTATGATTTTGAACCATGTTTCGTTCAAAGGAGCCTATTAAAAGTAGGCGTCAGGACTACTTTGGAATAGTGTGTTTATACCTTCTTTTGCTCATGCAGACATTTATTAAATGTTTACTGTGTACTAAGTGGTATTCTAGGTGCTAGGAACACATGGGTGAGCAAAGACAAGGTCCCTGCCCTCAAAAAGATTACAAAAGATTACGTTCTAGTTGGGGAAGCAAATCATAAACAAATAATATATAATCAGTAAAGGACTGAATCACGTAAACATCCAGGGGGTGTGAGCGTTCCAGGCAGAACTTAAGAGTAGTCCAAATTTTTGAGCTCCTGCCGTATATCTTTCCCCGCCTAAACTCACATATCTAGAATTAACTGCTATGATGGGTCAACTAGAGCATCTGTTCATTTCTCTGTTTTCATCATCCCATTTAATCATTTAAGTATGCTTGATATAATATGCTAACATTGTAGATTTATTAGTTTCATCTGACATACATCATTACATATTTGATTTTTAACATTTTACTTATGTCCTAGGATTGATACTGCATATATGTATATGTAATATATCTGTATACCTAGATACAAATATATAATTTATTGAGTGCTTACTATATGCCAGTTTCACTGTGCTAATAAGCACGTGCATTCTTTCATTTAATCCTCACAACACCCATGTGAAATAGGTAATAGGGAGAAACAGGGTCTAAACGAAGTTAAGAAATCTTCCTAATGTCTCCCAGTAGCTACTTAGGGCTAAATAAGGATTCATATTAAAATTGGTCTGATTCTAAAACCTGAGTTTTTAAGCACTTTGCTATACTTTACAAGAGCTCTTTAAGCCACTTTATGAGTTTTTAATATACATGTATATATCTATGTGGTACAAATTATAAGGATATAAAAATTTTATCCCTTACACTGAGATATTTTATTTTTGATAGTGTAACTAAATATTAGTTGGTTTATTATTATTATTGATTGGAGAAAAATGAAAAAAACATACAGACATGTAAAGTAAAAGATCTATTAGAACATTTTTATGGTTTCTAGTATCTTTAAGTTATTTCAACAAATATGTATTGTCTATCCACTTTGTGTTCTGTCATGCGGATGGGGATACAGGTAAAGTATGGGTATGATGACAGCATTCAAGGAGCTTGCAGCTCATCTGGGGTAATAGGAGATGCACACAAGGATGATTTCATTCTGTATAATAAGTAGTTAAATACCAGTGCAGATGATATGAGTACTGTGAGAATGAGTGTAATCGGTGTAGGAAGGAAAAGAAAGAAATCAATGTGGATGGAGGTAGAGAGATGGAATTTGACCAAGTCTCTATGACTAGTGGACTTTAAGAGAGTGAGCCAACATAATATGACTTCTGTTATTTTATTTGAAATGTAGGCCCCAAATACAAAGCCAAATGTAATTTTTGATTGCCCATGCTGTGGCTTCCCTTTATTAGGATGGATAATAAAGAGTTGACTGTATTTTTACATAATACTTGAAAGCAGAAAGTAAGTTCTCTTATGTTTTTTATGACTTTCTATTAAAAGAGTTTTGTTGAATCATAAGCCTCTACCCATATTCAATTTTACATGTATTTTTTTCCTTTTTTCCTATTCATGTAATAGTTGTGATTTATATAGAACTATCAGAAAAGTGTGGGCCAAAAGCTTCTTTAAAAACAAGGCAAAAACTTGACATTGCATATATTGTTAACTGAAAAATCTATGTATATTTTACTGCCTGCTTTGCCTTTCTGATTCAGGTGAAGTATTTGATTACTTAGTTGCCCATGGAAGAATGAAAGAAAAAGAGGCCCGTGCAAAATTTAGGCAGGTATGGAAAGTAGTTTTCAACTTTGTTTTGCTGATATTTTTAGTGATGTACAATGGACAGTATCACAAACTGGAATTCAGAGTACGTGGTACTTTAAAAAGAAAAATTCCTGCTTTCTTACACGTTTTAAGAATGGAAAACTGAAAAAGAAATTTGTTCTTCCTGAATTTAAATTTAAAATAGTTGCCATTGGTTACTTCTAGTTCATCATAAATAGTAAAATGTTTATAGGTGAGATTCTTATTAATAACTCTTTGAGAGTCTTGGAAATACAGACTAGAGTGAGATAGAAAGTAAATACTTAAACCTTTATCCAGTAATTATTATCAAGTATTATTAGCTTTATGTGTACAGTATAAATGTGTACTGTTTAAAGAGGTTTTTGTATTTTTTAAATAATTAAAGATGTCTTAGTTTTGGAACTCATATTTTTGTAGACTTAAAGACTATGATCAATTTTATTTAGTCAAGTAGGGAAGGAACCTTGCCAGTGTGAAGAATGTGGTAAGATATTGATATTTCCAGGTCAACTTGAATATGATTTGTTACAGAAATGATAAAATAAGAAAAAGCAATTTAAGTTCATCTAAGATTTTGTTTTTAATGTTTAGGAATGAAGTATTTAAGGTTATCATACTTTATAAATTACTGTAGAAATGACAATAAATTGTAAATTGTCCACAAAATTTACTGAAGTAAAGTTTCAACAGACAACTTACTATATCCCAAACTTTACCTAAGTCAATTTAAAATATTCGTTCAAAAATGGTTCAGGGCTTCCCTGGTGGTGCAGTGGTTGAGAGTCCGCCTGCCGATGCAGGGGACGCGGGTTCGTGCCCCGGTCCGGGAAGATCCCACATGCCGCAGAGCGGCTGGGCCAGTGAGCCATGGCCACTGAGCGTGAGCGTCCGGAGCCTGTGCTCCGCAACGGGAGAGGCCCCAACAGTGAGAGGCCCGCGTACCGCAAAAAAAAAAAAAAAGTTCAGTATCTCTTCTGTAAACATTATTCTACAGTTAAAGGGATCCTGTAATCAATAAGGTTGGGAAACACGGACTACTGATGTGAAATCTTCCTCTGTGAGATTTGACATATATGTTAACATATAAACAATTGGAGAAGTCCTGAAGAAGATGGGAGGAAAAAAACCTGTTCAACTTTTTTTTTTTTGACGTAGCATTCTGCATATCGATCGTGGAGTGAGTTTATTTTGTGAAACCTCTATTATTAATATCTCACAGAATCACTATTTGGAACAATATACATGAAATACTTTAGACCAAAGATAAACATAGCCCTTATATTTAGGATAGATTCCTAAGAGCATTTGACTTAAAATAGCTGAATCTAAAGACAACTGGTAATGAGGAAGCAGCATTGAGAAATTGAATGGTATTCAGCTATATATTGTTAAATTCTTTTCTACTGTGGAATGGAAGTCCATGCTTACTTAAGTAAAGAGCTACAATCATCACTTTAAATATCATCGTTCTTTCCATCTCAGTCACACTAGTCTTAGTAGCCTATCAGGAAGAAAATTCCAATTGACGTTAAATATTTCCATTGGGATTTTAATATATATTTCAAGGACTGTCACTACTCACTCTTATTCTTTTTAGTCAGTTGGTTTTATTTATTTATTAAAAACATACTGTGGTCAGAAATTGTACTGGGTACTATATGGAATTAGAGAAGGTGCTGTTTTAAAGAGCTTACTCATCTCTACTGATGGGTGGGGAGCAGGATAGCAGGCTGGGACACAGATATTTTTCATAAAGATCCAAACAATTACTAATTGGCTCTTTTTTAAAATAAAGTCTGGATTACTTTGAAATCAAATCAGAGATTGAGTGTTAAATGAATGCTATTTAAAATGTAAAACAGTGGCAATTTAAAAAATAATTATCTATTTATTATAAATATTAAACATATTAACTATCTGTATGTGTTCCCCCCAAATTAAATAGGTAACCAACTCACATTTTTAAAAACCAGGGACACACACACAATTTTATAGTTATTTGGCAAAATGTTATATTTGTTTTTCAATTTATTTTTGCTAAGTTTATTTTTCTTTATAGGTGTAATTAAAACTCGAATAAATGTGTATTTACTTTTATTTTTATTTGCTCTGTATTTCATAAAATTACTTTAAAAACTTTAACAGTGAAAGGGAATGTACTGTATTAGTAAGGATATGTCCTTGACTCTACCATTAAATATAGCAGAGACACTAGGACAGTTCAAGACCAATTTAGCAGTCATTGCCCATACAATGCCTCTGCCTTCCTTAAGATTTGAGGGCCTGGGAGAGAAATCATAATATTGACTCAACACTTCCAGTATCAAGGCTACTACTTAAAGCTTGGGAATCCCTGACCCACGTATAAATAATTGCAAAGCATCCTCCCCCCACAATTGCACCTCATGGCAAAACATTGACATGTCTGGTCTTAGGGTCAGTGCAGGACTGATGGTCAATCATGTTTTCAAGATCCATAACAAAAGGATTGTAGGGAAGTTTCTGCATGCTATTTGTGGAGGTACAGAATGTTTTGAGATGGGAGGGTCTGGCCATAGACTAATGCAGTAAAACTTGGGCTTGTGAATGGGGGTTCTTGCAGCGAGCGAGTCAGGAGCCAGAGCTTCTTTTATGGCAGAAATTGTACCCTGCTAGATAAGTGTGATGATATTATAAATTATCTTTCCCTTCTTAAGTCTTTAAGACTCAGGAGATTTTTATTCTAGAAGTGCCTATAGAACTGCTTTCATAGAAACTGTCTTGTCTAATGTGAAATGCATGTTTGGTAACCAAATCATTATCTGTAGCATGCCTTCTTCATTGTATCAAGAGAAGGGGACTTGAAGAAGATAATATCATTATCAGCAAAAATCTATGATGCAAAAATAGCGTTATAGTATGAACATCCTATAGCCTATATAGTATGTTCAATAAGATGTATTAATATTTACATATAAATGTATGTCTCTCTTAATTACATGGTAAAAATTGGATATTAGAATTTTGAAGCATATTGCTTAAGAAAACTAATACTACATGTATTCATTGTAGGATTTTGCTGTATTTGGAGGACTCACACCTCAAATTGATTATAATCATTCACAATTGTTTTGCTCAAACACAGTTCATGGTTCTGTAGTACCTGCTTAGTTTGGAATTCAGAGACTTTTACCAACTTGTCTATCAGGATTTAACTCCCAGTATTACCATTTTCCCACCTACTTTTCAAATACATTGTGTTGCCTCAACATCAGTGCAGGGCTTCCCTGGTGGCTCAGTGGTTGAGAATCCGCCTGCCAATGCAGGGAACACAGGTTCGAGCCCTGGCCCGGGAAGATCCCACATGCCGTGGAGCAATTAAACCTGTGTTCCACAACTACTGAGCCCATATGCCACAACTACTGAAGCCTGCATGCCTAGAGCCCGTGCTCCGCAACAAGAGAAGCCACCGCAATGAGAAGCCTGCACACCGCAACGAAGAGTAGCCCCCATGCTCGCCACAACCAGAGAAAGCCCACATGCAGCAATGAAGACCCAATGCAGCCAAAAATTAAAAAAAACAATCAGTGCATTTTACCACCTTACCTCCTACGTCCCCATCTCCAAACATCCACATTTTAAAATTTTACTATCCTTTATGGAGGGCTTAGATCAATTATCACCTAGTAACTGAGGTTATTCTTTATCTTTTATGATTCCCTCACTTCTTTGTAACTCTGCTTCTATGATTCTACTTTGTAGTATGTATAGTTACTCATAAACATGTTTTTTCCTCCTAATCAGACTGTAAGCTCCTGAAAGGCAGCGTGCATGTAGGGTGCATGAACACATTTTTGTATTCCCCTAGCAACTAGCACATTTTCTTGCACATAGCAGGCACTCAATAAACTGACTGTTGAATCAAAATGAATTTAATTGAATTACATCTTACTGTGTGTTGATTTTGTTTTGAATTCATGTCTTCTCTGTCTTTGAACCATTATAATATACATTAAAATAATTTTATAATACTGAAATATCAGTTTCACTTGTACTACTTTGAAGTTTTTTTTTTTCTAACCAGTATCCTATTAGCATGGTCATACTTCACATCACCTTTACACTTTCAAAAATTTCATTTCTGGGGCTTCCCTGTTGGCGCAGCGGTTGAGAGTCCACCTGCCGATGCAGGGGACGCAGGTTCGTGCCCCGGTCCGGGAAGATCCCACATGCCGCGGAGCGGCTAGGCTCGTGAGCCATGGCCGCTGAGCCTGTGCGTCCGGAGCCTGTGCTCCGCAGCCGGAGAGGCCACAGCGGTGAGAGGCCCGTGTACCGAGAAAAAAAAAAAAAAAAATTCATTTCTGTCCCCATTTGTTAATGCCTAACCAATGTTCAACATTCAAACTGTGTTTACGTTTAACTGAATCCACAGAATTGAATGTTCTGCTGTGCATTAAAATGGCCCTCCTATACATCAGATATACTTATATGTACAAAGTAACGCTTAGTTGATTGCTATCAGATTGTTTCCTTTTCTGTATTTTATGTAATAAAGCGTATAACTATCATAGAATTGCTTATAACCTATTTCTCACTGGTATCTTTGGCCCTTAAACCATTGGGTTCTTTCCTGTTTAGCACTTATCCCCAAAGAGCCCTATGTAATGGTTAAAAATTAAGATGGTGTACAAAATCTAGTTACAAGGGTAGAATGCTTTGCCCAGCTGAATTAGTGGCAAGTTTAAGATTAGATTTCATTTTTACCTCTTTTCTTTTGATAATTAGGTTTCCTTTAAAGGCTCACAAATTTTTCCTTTGCTTTATACTATATGAAGAGACAAAAATAAGGTATTGCTAAACCCTGTTGATAAGTTCTTAGTCAGTTGACTTCCCTGAAGAAACATGCCTTGAACACATTTAATATAATTCCTAAAATACAGTTTTGCATTTTGCACTTGAGCCAGCTATCTTGGAATGCTGATTCATGTGTGCCAGAATTCTTATTTCAACAGTGGGATAAACCATTTGACCAAAACTACAAAGTGTATACATTGTATCATGTGAACAGAAATATAACAACCCATAAAGAAATCTTCATGGACTCTGACAAATATTTTAGTGTATTTTAGCAAGAGAATACTACTTTTGCACGTAGTCCACATTTAAAAGTGAAAATTTCATAACTTTAATATGTATGGTTTTCTGAAATAAAGGAACAGTGAAATTGCTAAACGTAACTTTAAAATCCAAGTTAGTAATTTCTCTAAATTGGAATGATAATTGGGGAAAAATTGAGATGTTTTTACTATAATAATTTTGAATCTTCTATCCAAATATTTATTTCAGATTGTATCTGCTGTACAGTATTGTCATCAAAAGTGCATTGTTCACCGTGATCTTAAGGTAAGTGATTGGTTTTATTACAAAAATTTCTTAATTATTAACAGATATGTGATACTACTAGAGATGTCTTTTTGATTGCCTAATTGTGCCAGGCACTGTACAAGGAAATTAGTTTTTATTTAATTCTCACAGCAACTTTTTATAAAAGGTAGTATTTTCTTTCTTTTTTTTAAAAATTGAAGTATAGTTGGTTTACAGTATTATGTTAGTTTCAGGTATACAGTGAAGTGATTCAGTTATATATATATTTTTCAGATTATTTTCCATTATAGGTTATTACAAGGTATTGAATATAGTTCCCTGTGCCATACAGTAAATCCTTATTGCTTATCTATTTTATGTAAAGTAGTATGTATCTATTAATCCCATACTCCTAATTTATTCCTCCCCTGCTTCCTTTCCCCTTTGGTAACCATAAGTTTGTTTTCTATGTCTGTGAGTCTGTTTCTGTTTTGTATATAGATTCATTTGTATTATTTTTTAGATTCCACATATAAATGATATTATGTAATATTTGTCTTTTTCTTTCTGACTTCACTTAGTATGATATTCTCTAGTCCATCCATGTTGCTGTAAATGGCATTATTTCATTCTTTTTTATGGCTGAGTAATATTCCATTGTGTGTATATACATACACACACACCACATCTTCTTAAGCCAATCATCTGTTGATAGGCACATGGTTTGTTTCCATGTCATAGCTATAGTAAGTAGTGCTGTTATGAACATTGGGGTGCATGTATCTTTTTGAATTGAGTTTTTGTCTTTTCCAGATATATGCCCAGGAGTGGGATTGTTGGATCATATGGTAGCTCTATTTTTAGTTTTTTAAGGAATCTCCATATTCTTCTCCACAGTGGCTGCACCAACTTACATTCCCACCAACGGTGTGCAAGGGTTCCCTTTTCTCCACACCCTTTCCAGCATTTAATATTTGTATACTTTTTGATGATAGCCATTCTGACCCATGTGAGGTGATACCTCATTGTGGTTTTGACTTGCATTTCTCTAATAATTAGTGATGTTGAGCATCTTTTCATGTGCCTGTTGGCCATCTGTATGTCTTCTTTGGAGAGATGACTATTTAGGTCTTCTGCCCATTTTTTTGTTTGATTTTTTTGATATTGAGTTGTATGAGCTGTTTGTGTATTTTGAATATTAACCCCTTGTTGGTCATATCATTTGCAAGTATTTTCTCCTATTCCTTTGGTTGTCTTTTCATTTTGTTGATGGTTTCCTTTGCTGCGCAAAAACTTTATAAAGTTTGATTAGGTGCTATTTGTTTATTTTTTTCTTTTATTTCTTTTGCCTTGAGGAATGAACTTAACCAGGAGGTGAAAGACCTGTACGCTGAAAACTATAAAACATTGATAAAGGAAACTGAAGATGATTCAAAGAAATGGAAAGATATTCCATGCTTTTGGATTGGAAGAATTAATATTGTTAAAATGGCCACACTACCCAAAGCAATCTACAAATTTCATGTAATCCCTATCAAAATACCCATGACATTTTTCACAGAACTAGAACAAATAATCCTAAAATTTATATGGAACCACAAAAGTCCTAGAATTGCCAAAGCAATCCTGAGGATAAAGAACACAGCTGGAGGCATAACCCTCCCAGACTTCAGACAGTACTACAAAGATACAGTAATCAAAACAGTATTGGTGTAAAAACAGATCAGTGGGACAGAATAGAGAGCCCAGGGAATTCCCTGGTGGTCCAGTGGTTAGGACTCAGAGCCTTCACTGCCAAGGGCCCGGGTTCGATCCCTGGCTGGGGAACTAAGATCCCACAAGCTGCGTGCGCGGCCAGAAAAAAAGAATAGAGAGCCCAGAAATAAACCCACATGTCTTCGATCAGTTAATCTATGACAGAGACAAAGGAGGCAAGAATATACAGTGGAGAAAAGACAGTCTCTTTAGCAAGTGGTGTTGGGAAAGCTTGACAGCTGCATGTAAATCAATGAAATTAGACCACTCCCTCACACCCTCACAAAAATAAACTCAAAATGGTTTAAAGACCTAAATATAAGGCATAAAACTCCTAGAAGAGAACATAGGCAAAACATGCTCTGACATAAATCAGAGGAATGTCTTCTTTTTTTTTTTTAATAAATTTATTTATTTATTTTTGGCTACATTAGGTCTTCTTTGCTGCACGCAGGCTTTCTTTAGTTGCGTCGAGTGGGGCTACTCTTCGTTTTGGTGCGTGGGCTTCTCATTGCAGTGGTTCTCTTGTTGTGGAGCGCAGGCTCTAGGTGCGTGGCCTCCAGTAATTGTGGCATGCGGTCTCAGTAGTTGTGGCACACGGACTTAGTTGCTCCACGGCATGTGGGATCATCCCAGACCAGGGCTCAAACCCATGTCCCGTGCATTGGCAAGTGGATTCTTAACCACTGCGCCGCTAGGGAAGCCCAGGAATGTTTTCTTAAAAGGCAGTATTTTCACTGAGGAAATGAAGAAAATGTGGATGAGAAGTTATCTAGCATTAAAGACTAGAGGATTTGATTGCATTAATTAGCTTCTTTTAATAACATAAATGAGGAACTTTGTCCCTAATTAAAAATGCCCGAGGCCGCATTCCATCAGAAGCAGGGTCAGGGCACAAATCCAGATTTGTCTGATGTAAGAGCCAGTGCTCATCCTCACATTAAAGTTCAAAGAAATCAGGGAAGTTTTAAATGTTTTTACGAATCTTGAATGCATATGATTAGTATAAGCTAGCATACTTTGGAATAAGAAATGTGTGATAGTCAGGAAATGTTTGTGGCAGTGAACATGGGAGCCATGTTTCATTTCATGGGGAAATGAAATCAGATGTCTTCTGTTTAGGTGTTTTGCCTATTTTTTAATCTGGTTGTTCGTTGTTTTGTTACTGAGTTACATGAGTTCCTTACATATTTTGAATATTAACCCCTTATCAGATATGTGGTTTGCTAGTATTTTCTCCCATTCTATAGGTTGTCTTTTCATTTTGTTGATGGTTTCCTTTGCTGTACAGATGCTTTTTAGTTTGATGTAGTCTTACTTGTTTAATTTTGCTTTGGTTGCCTGAGCTTTTGATGTCTAATCCAAAAAGTTAATAATACTGTATTGAATACTGGAAGTTTGCTAAGAGGGATTTCAGGTGTTCCCATCACACTTATCAAAAAAAGAGGTAACTGTGAGGAAGTATGTAGCTTGACTTAAGTAATCATTTCACTGTTTGTATGTATATCAAATTATCATGTGTTATACCTTAAATATACATAATTTTTATTTTAAAAAATAAAATAATTTAAAAAAAGAAAGAATGGTTGGGGCCAAATGGATTCTTTTCTTTTTGAACGAAGGTAGAAGATCCCTTGTCTAAGAAAGTTTTCTTTTTTTTTTCCTTTTTCTCTATTTTTCCAAAGTTAACTTGCATGTTCCATACCTAGGAGGTCTTTTTTTTTTTTCCAACTTCTTTTCCCATTGCCTCTGTCAATTACTAGCACTAGTTTGTGTTATATTTGAATACATTGTCCTAAACAGTTGTTGAAAGTCTCATCCTGTATTTTGACTCCATTGTTCTGAGCTTACAGATTTTCTCCTGCTCCAAATATTTCTGTTTCCTCCCTCAGCTATTTTAAGGGAAATCACTGCTTCAAAGAAAGAGAAAGAAGAGGGCAATTTATTTCCCTGCCTGTGTGTTTGACTCCTAGTTTGTCATCTCATTTCTTATATGGAAAATATCTGCAAAAAATCATGTTCATTACCCAGGAGTTTCCTGTATGCTCTTGGGAGGAAACCTCAAAACCCTCTCCATCTCTCCTCTTCTGAGGCAGCCTTGGGTACTTTGCTATCCATCCAGACATCTTTAGAGAGACTGGGAAACGTCTAGCTTGCTCCAAGACAGCCTCAGAAATTTACAGTGACCAGGCCCTTACATCAGAACATCAGAGTAACCTGGTTCTGTCGCACAGTCCATAATGTTAAGATCTAATATAAATCTCCCAAATCTGTGTGCTGTTATAATATTTATGTAATAAGTGATACCACATTTTTTGCATATTTTTGGGTGTTAGATGTGTATTTTCTGAAACAAGATGAAAACAAATATCCCAAGGTAGTATTCCTTAAAAAAGGAAAAGGAGGAAGTAGGCGAGGGAAGAGCTATATGATGGGCAAAGTGCTTGGGTCTGCTGACTGTTGGACCCTCCAGTGGTATAAACTGTAGAGAACTCTGATTTTCATTTTAGTCAAATTTTACTCCTTTTTGTAACCTGATAAAACACATCTACAAACTAAGCTATAACTTCATTTGTCTGTCAGTTGTAACAGAGTTTGAAACAAAACATGTGCAAAAGCAAATCCTTTATTGAATTGCTTGCATTTATAAAAGGTACATTTAAATTTTTTCATTGAATGATTCTGATTTAGGAAGATTTTAGAAAACCGGCATTTTAAAACATGGGAGAAATCACTTCTTTCTACCATAATAAACCCCTAGAAGAGAATCTAGTTTTAGAAAAGCAAACAGAGGCTTAAAACAGATAAGATCCAATGGAGGCTGTGTTGTGTTGTTTTCTTTTACTGAGAAAAGAACTTTGTTGAGGATGCATTTTGCAAGAAAGAACAAGGAATCAATTCAGTAGCCATAGAACCCCTGACTGGGAGTTAGTTTAAATATATGCTTGAGGCTTGCATTAACCAGTGATACTCTATTAAACAGCATATTTGGGTAAATTTGTTGGTTTAAGCCCAAGATGGATTAGTGTTATGTTGACTTACATTCTTTAGAATAGGTCATATTAAGGTGCAATTCCAGGATGTTTCTTACCATGAGGAAAAAAATTAGGTTTAAAATGACCTATGGAAGAAAATGATTTTTAAGTAACCTTTCTTAAACAGTTACATATATGCATATAAATGGAAGCTTCCTATATAGTGTTAAAATTCAGTTTTATATAAATGTAATTCTGAGAAGTTACACATTGAAGTACTCTACTGGGCTTCTCAATTTGATGTTACACTTAAAAACGAGAGACAAGAAATAGATGTTTGAGATCTGAAACAATTATAATGAACGTTTTATTTTATGTAGGCTCTTTACATTGTCCTTTTTATTATTTTCCTCTTAGGCTGAAAACCTTCTCCTTGATGCTGATATGAATATTAAAATTGCTGACTTTGGTTTTAGTAATGAATTTACAGTCGGGAGCAAGTTGGACACATTTTGTGGAAGCCCGCCTTACGCTGCCCCTGAGCTTTTCCAAGGGAAGAAGTACGACGGGCCTGAAGTGGACGTGTGGAGTCTCGGCGTCATTCTCTACACGTTAGTCAGTGGGTCCTTGCCTTTTGACGGCCAGAATTTAAAGGTATCAGCTAAATTTGATATTAATGTTCTATCCCCAAGCACAGTGATTTCATAAGCCAGTGATATGTGCTTTCTTTTGCTTTGTAAGGAACTGCGGGAGCGAGTCTTACGAGGGAAGTACCGTATTCCCTTCTATATGTCCACTGACTGTGAAAACCTCCTGAAGAAATTATTAGTGCTGAATCCAATCAAGAGAGGCAGCTTGGAAGTAAGTAATTTTTACCACTCCATATTTAAAGTCTAACAGTTAAAATATTCAAGGAACTACAGAGCGTTATTTCAATAATTTTTCCCCACGTTTTTTAAGGAAAATTGCCAAATCATCTCATTTGCCTTTTATTTAGATCTAGAGAAAGTCACATGATGCTTTCACTGCTCAAAGGTTGTGCAGTAGGTTTGGCTAAAGTACTCTTATTTCTTCTTTGTCCTGCAGTGAAGTCTTAAATTAAAACAACATCAAAATAGGGATAAAATTGACTTAGTTGAAGAAGGAGGAAAACCTAGTCTCTGTCACAAATTGCTTGGTCCAATATAGAAACCTTGTATTTAGTAAGTACAGATATTTCAAGGATAAAAGAAGATAGTGAAATTTGAATCCAGTGAATACTTCATGGCTGTATCTGATAGTAAAAAATTTAATAGAACCCTCTCACCATCAGTACAGAAAATTTGCAAATATTTAAGTAGAACATATTGGAAACAGGTATTTCATTTCTTACCACACTGTTGTGTTGCCTACATACATTCCACATATGTGAGGTTATTTATAATAACAGACGCTGTTAAAAAAGTACTAAGTATGTTACAGCCAGTAACATCAGAGGTTCATATAACCAAAATGTCTAATCTTTTTTCCTTGTGACACTGCAGTCAGAACAACTTATTAAGCATTTTTCCCATCTGTTTTTAAAAATATTTTAGCCTGTACTAAGATAATTTCAGAGATTCAGCATGTATTGTTCACCAGTACTTTTTGTCTTCATTTATTTGCCTTAATAGATAGGGTAGAAAATTCAGAGAATTAACCTCATTTAAACTGTACTTTTTTAGTGTAGCAATGGGGGCCTTCTGGCATGGACTCCATGCTGGTTAGGAGGCAGCCTTATAGTGAGCCATCCCTGTGTACAGAGCTCTCAGGCTAGTTTGGGCTTTGTAATTGTATTACCACAGTACTTTTCACTAAAAGATACAATATGATGTTTTGATGGAAGTTAAGGGATGGTGACTTCCATTGGGAAATTATTTTAAATGTTTTATACCAGTAAATCAATTATCAGATATTTTTTACTGAATTGTTTGTTTAAATGTGATTAGTTACTTCCTATGATTTTTGTGGGTTTTTTTCTTTGGGGGTCAAAGGATATGTTGTAATGCTTTAAAAGAGAAATCTGTGCATTAAAAAAAGCCCACGTTCATATTACCGCTCTTCTAAACTTACTTTCAACCATTATAATGGAAAACTGTGTGAAATAGTTAAAATTGTTGACACTCATACAAGTTCTAAAATTTTGTAGGAACATAAGCCTCCCTTGATCCTGCTTTATGACCCATTTTTATCATTGGAGCCAAGTTTACTTGAATGTCACTTAAAATGTCCAGAGTTGAGGCATCAGCTCAGCTAATGAGAGGAACAAAAAGACCATAAAGAACAAAGATTATTTGGGGGGAGTAGATTTTACAAATCTCTATGGACGATTGATAAGATATGCTTCATGTCTTAACTATGATTAATTTACAGTGGCCAAATATTTAAGTCTTTCATCCTTAGCATTAAAATATGAAGGATTAAAGTATTAGAATTCTCTGACTTGAATGTGAAAGCAAGTTATTATTATGAAAACATTTGCTCATCAGAAGCTCAACTTGATGTATTTGAATATAGTCTGGAACTTCCTGTTCCACCTTGTCAAAATTAAGTTTTCCAGCCATGGAACCATGAGTCTACATTGGAAATATTATCATAATATTGCAGATATCACCATACAAAGGCTGGTCTGCTTTACAATTCCCAGAAATCATTTTCCAGAGAAACCTGACACCATTGGGGAAAAAAAAAAAAAGATTTCTTTATACCAAATCTTAAGAAACTCCCCTTGAAATAACAATGATGTCGAAAATTATATTAGTCTTCACTTTTATTTTCATACCTACTTTATTATCAACTTTACAACCAAAAAACTCATAAAGTATAAAAAGCAGCTGTTTTCAAAACACCAGTCTTCAGTGTGTAAACATAAATTTTTATTCAGTAATAATGTTTTCCTGTCATGTTGCATTCTTTTTTTTTAACTTAAACGTTTTTAGTATGTCCTCTTTGCTTTATCATGAGAGTGACTGCCTTCCCTGTCAATAGCTATGTTGTTCTCCTTGGATTATGTATCAAAGTTTATTTATTCTCTGCTTGTTCCACATGTGAGTTGTTCTCATTGTTTTTGCTAAAAATAATGTGATGTACTTTTTCCCTTTGGGACGTATGCTTAAGATAAATTCTCCAGACAGTAATTACTCGGCCAAAGGGTATAAACAGTCTGCTAGGTCCTGTGTATCATTGCCAAAAGATTGTGTGTTAACTAAGGCATTTGAAGGTACATATTCTGCACAGCTTGTTTCAGTATTGGATAAAAGTAATTTCTAGTATTTGATGCCTTTATGGTAGTAATGCAGTTTGTCATAATTGCTTTAATTTGTATTTCTTTCATTAGAGATAATGTTCAATATTTTTAATGAATAGGTTAAGTGTCCTTCATATGTAAGCTCTCTGTGTCCCTAAACTGCTTTTTTAAAGGAATCTGGTTAATCAGCTTTATAGACTTGTATCAGCTTTGTACATTTTGATATGAAATATTTCCCTGTTAATTCTCATATTTTAAGAAATGGAACTTGATGTATTTTTTCGGTGTTAGTTGAGTATCATGAGTTATTGATGAAACTGTAGTCTTCACTATGTAATTTGCTAATATTGAAGTTTGATTTAAAGAATCTTTATTTTAAATAATTTCACGTTCTACTTGCTTGACCCATAGTTGCTTCTAGATCTAAACAGTTAATATAATTTTTTCAGGTTGTATATATGAGTGCTGTCACCTCTTCCTAATTGTACTCATAATGGGGGGGACAGTATCACACATGATTTTCAAAGGATTTGTGTTGTATGTTGTATGCTGGGTTTTTTCCTATTTATTTGAATATTGGTGTGTCTGGATTTTTTTTAGAAAGATACTGAAATTTTTTCCTGCTACCCCCTCTTTGTATATTCTTTCATTTTTCCAGTCCTTAAGTAAGATGGACTGTGTTACCTTTCAAAATAATAACAAAATTTGAGCCTAAAGCAAAGTTCCTCATTATTGCCCTTTCTCCCTCATCTTTGGTCCTCCTCAAAAAGTATTTACTTTTACTTTTAACACCTTTTTCAGCCTCTGCTAAGATAATCTTTAAAATCTTGCTTGTGTCTGCCCAGTTCAAGTGACAGTAAAGCAAAAGACAATAAGAATAATAACCATTTTTCTAATGAAAATTTCTAAGTACAAATTCAGAAGCATATGGTATACTTTACAAAGGTTGAAACCATTTAAGAAAAATTATTTTCATCTGGCCAGCCTAAAGTCCATAATTTTTTAGTGTGGACCTATGTGTAGGGTGTATATTTCCATTGGTCATTTGTTTAACTCTTTATAATTCATCTGAATCAATTATTTTGTTAGAACTTCTCAGCAAGTAGTCATTTCTGTTCAGTGACAGTGATGGCTAGGGTAAACTTTCTTCAAGTTTGCAATCTTGTTGGACGTCTTGTTTCTCATGTTGAGATATCTCAAATGAAACCTGAAATGGACTAGTTTGTTGAACTGGTCTAGTGCAGTGTGTTGGCCAGTGGTTTACACTGTGCCTGAAACCACCAGGAATAGGGTTGCATGAACTCCACGGTCACCAGCACCACCATTTCCTGGGGACACTTACTTCTCCCTTGGCTTTGAATGTTAACCCTGCGATTCCCATGGAGGAATTTTGAGTGGGCGTGAGGTTCACACACTGCAGACAGGTACTTCCGCATGCTCTTCCCTTTCCTCTATCCCTATTTTGTTGCTCTCTGTGCCTTACTCCTCTAAAAGACCTTCAGATTTAGAACTAGAGGAGTTAATTCTGCTACTTTTTTCCCTTAAGCAGATCTTCTTTCTTCCTACTGTTACCTCCCACTCCTTTTACTGAAGGAAATTTTTCCTCAGATTATTTTTATTTTGCTTTGAAACACAACTGTTTTTAAGGAGACAAACTTTGCTACCTGGACTTGGCGACCCCCAGAGATCAGAACAGTTAAGACAGGAAAGCGAAACTGTGTTCTTTCTCTCATCACCGCCCAGCGGCCTTTTCTTTTCACTTTGATTTTCCACCTTCCCTGGATCAGCCCGGCCTCAAATCTGATTTTGTGTGAAGACTAGCAGAGTCAGTGCTCCTTCTGTGTTCCTCAGATCGTTCCTTTCCCGGTGCTGTTTCTAAAATGTTGCTTATCTTCTTCATTAATAAAATGTAGCATTTCTCCATTGCCGATCAGATCAAGATTAAATTCATCATCTGAGGATACTCACTTTATCTCCTGTTCTTTCATTGCATGTTACCTCTGTTCCAAGTCAAAGGAGAGGATGCCTCACTGTTCCCCCCTCACATCTTCCTTCACTTGTTCACCAGTCCAGATATTACCTATATTTCGAGAGTGAGTTCACCTCCTAACTTCTTGGGATTCCTTCCCTGAAAACTCCAGCCCACACTGCAAGTTACTCTTTTTCATCTTTATTAATACTCACTGCTAATAGCACACTCCTGAACAGTTAATTCCATTGTGTATTCAAATATTTTCAGGTTTGGTGAGTAAATCTTATTTCCCCAGATAAAAGACAAATTACCTCAGGGTTTAGTCCACATATATATATTTTTCCTTGATGTGGACAGATAATAATGGTTGTGAAATGAGCACCAAATACACACCATTTAATTGAGAAGCATCAGAAAATTTGGATTATCTTAATTTTGCTTTTAATATTTTGTCTTCCACTATCAAATCTGTTATTGCTCTTGTATTTTTTACTTAGGGATACTCTGTTCCTCCCGGCACCTGAGTTAAAATCCTCAGACCCCTCTTGGATTTCATCCTTTCCCTCATTCTCAAAACGAAATTTGTTAGGGAGGGTGGGAGGGAGGGAGATGCAAGAGGGAAGA